CATTATCGCCATTTTCGAATGATCAATAATAATTGATACCTTCTGTCTTCGGATAGATATATCAATTATTATTGTAGTTTTGATTATGAGATTAATGATCTTCTATCCGAATTATCATAGTCAGACAATCGATTAAACTTCATTATGATCTTTCGAGATCATATGTTGTTTCCCCTTGAGTCTGACTATAATAATTTAGATAAATTTAAAATTCTAAAATTTGAACCCATTAGGGAACGATACGATCATCTTTCGAGGCGATATATTGTTCATAATGACGCGTTCAATTTTAAAATTCAAAATTTAATATTCTCAAAGATAATTAAATATTTTTTTAAGACTTTATATACTTAAATATATTTTTCAATCAAAACATACTAGCAGCCGTTTGCTCATGAAATGGAAAAATCTGTTCGTTAAACCGCAAATGCAGTGAAGTAATAATTTTGTTTGAGGAAAGATCTAAGCATTTATATCCTTTGCACATATCAGAGTATCCCATAAAAACACATTGCAAGGATTTAGGTTGTAATTTATGACGAGCATGCGATGGTAGTAATGGAAAACAAGCACAACCAAATGTTCTAATGGCATTATAATCAGGTTTTGTATTGTAAAATAATTCAAACGGAGAACAATTATTTGTGTTGGTTGAAGGCAAACGATTTATAAGAAAAAATGCTATGAGCACAGCATCAGGCCAGTATTTGTAAGGCATGTGAGCCATGTGAAGCATCGATCTGGTGGTCTCAATAATATGCCGGTGTTTCCGTTCGACAACACCGTTTTGCTCCGGTGTGTAAGGGCATGAAATTTGATGCGATATGCCATTTGTTTTCAAAAATTCAGTAAACGATCGATTAAGATATTCACCTCCACCATCAGTACAAATGCACTTGATTTGTTTTGACGTATATTTTTCGATGTTTTGCTTGAAATTAATAAAAGTAAGAGTAACATCAGATTTATGCTTAAGCGGAAACAACCAAGTAAAGCGTGTACAGTCATCAACGAATATGACATAATATTGAAAACCTTGCAAAGAAACATACGGAGCCGGTCCCCAGAGATCAGAATATTTGAGTTCTAAAGCATTTGTTTTACGCAATACAGAATTAGTAAATAGAATTTTATGTGCTTTAGAGACATTGCAAGTGGTACAAGAGTTTGTAAAATCTATATTCAACTGAGGATTTAAAGAAGCTAGTAACTGTAAAAAAACTGTTATTGGGATGTCCTAATCTGTTGTGCCAGGAGAAATTGGCGGCACGAGCTGTAGAATAAGCATGATATGAAGTGTCTCGACTTGTAGTCGGAAGCTTGTACAGGCCATTCCTACATGGCCCTTGAAGAAGCACTTCTTGAGTCGTCAAGTCCTTCAAGGAAAAACCATTAGGATCGAAAACGATTGAAATGTTATTATCTTTAATAAGCTGAGATATAGAAATTAAGTTGTATTGAAGATCGGGAGAGTGAAATAATTGAGAGAGTTTTAGCTTACGATCAGGCAGTGATAACAAACCTGTACCGGAGTTGGCAATGCTTATAGTGCTGCCATCTCCGATGATTACTCCGTCTTGGTCTTGATACGGAGCGGAGACATAGAGGTTGTCGAAGGAGTTCGTTAGGTGCGAAAATGCACCTGAGTCAAGAAACCATTCGGAGTTGTTTCTTGTATTACCCGCAACAAGAGCCGTAGGTTGATTCGTGGTAGCCTGCGGTGTGTAGCTCAGATTCGATCTGTGCCAGCATGAGGAGGCCGCATGACCTTTCTTTAAATAGATTTGACAGATCGTAGTAGCGTGTGGGTTTGATCGCTGTGAGTTTGGCATGTTTGGCGGACCCTTTCCGCGAGTGCGTCTGCCTCGACCACAAGTGGAATAGAGAGCGGTCGTCGGGTCTGTACTTGCAGCAGTCCGGGATGCATCAGATGCCAAATTGATTTCTTCACTAAGAAGAAGCGCATACATATTATCAAGACTAATTGGTGTTAGCATTGTGCGGATGGCAGTTTTAAATGACTGGTATGAGGGAGGAAGCCCATTGAGGATGTATAATATGATGTCCTCAGTGTCAACAGTAGATCCGACGGAGGCTATGTTATCAACTAAAGATTTAATATCAGCAAGATATTGAGTCATAGATGAGTTTTTGAGGGAAATGTGATGTAACTCATTCTTTAGTTGAATTACTTTAAATCGATTTGAGGATTGAAAATGTTGGGCAAGAGTATCCCAAATGGCTGCAGTGGATTCCAATTGGATGATATAGGGAAGAACGGGCGCAGAAATGGTGGAGCAAATAGCCGCCGAGAGGTTTTGGTCCGTGAGATGCCACTGGACGAACTCAGGATTAGGCGATGAGGAAGACCCGTCGGAGTGAGGAAAAGAACGGGACGGAACAGAGAAATTCGAATCAAGAAACGGTGCAAAACCATTTGCAGAAAAAACTTTTAGGATTTGAGATCTCCATATGGAATAATTTTCAGGAGAAAGTTGGATTTGAACTATTGATTTGAGATTAGAAACAACGAATTTGAGTGTAGAGGAGAGCACCGGTGGATCTTGCGTGATGGATGCTTCTCGTTCTTCGATCTGAGATGATCCCGTGGTTGCCATTTAGCGTGATTCTTGATTGCCTGCTTTTTGATACCATGTAGAATCTCTCAGTTCTTGAACTGAGTTCACGGAAGTAGAAACAGAGAAAGGTAAAGTGGAAACATGACAGAATAGAAAAGTATTACTTGTCTTGTTATTGAGTACAGAGATTACATATTTATAGAAATATTTACAAGGCAATATAAATGCTATCCAATCTTATTGTGCCACGTGTAAGAGTTGTTTTGTTGCTGTAGATTTATCTGCTAATACCCTACACACAACACTCATTTCTACTCTTATTATCCCCCACCATCATCTAAGTCAATCTCGTCCACTTACCCATATTTTCCATACGCATAGTCATTCTACTACTCACTACCTCCACAGCGGAGCAGTGACCTGAGGGCATTGGCTCATTGACGACATATGGCCGCATGCTTGTTGAGCTTGAAGATAACACATAAGTAATAAACATTTTGGTTTATTTTGTTGATTAACTTTTACTAATGTTGACATTTATATTTTTGTAGCTTTCATCTATCGAGACAACCAATACATACTTAAGATATGGGACATTATAAGAAGAAAGTATGATACTTTATATCTATCTTGGAAGAAAATATCTCAGGAAGTTCATGACATGTGGTTCCGGGTGTTTAAGGTTAGTAATCAACACCAATGGTAATCAACTTCCATTCTAATTATTCTAATCCATAATGTTATGTATTGTAATGTTAAATAGAGAAAATTTTGCTGGTTTTCCTAGCACAATTCCAAGATAAGAAAGAATTTTGAAAAGTGTGGTTCAACTTGCCTACGAGACATTATTATAGATATTAGAAAGTAAAGCGAGAGAACGCTTTGGATTGGTGAGGGTGTATGCAAGTAGGAGGAATCAGAATAGATAAAACAGATCTTCTAATGTTAGGGCATGGGCAGCATGCACCCTCTATACTGGTTGCTCAATTATATACACTAAGCATAGACGACATTTGGTATGTGTGTATATATATATTAGACTTAAATATTTTTGGTGGTTGTGCAAACATATTATATTATATTGCATAAATAAGTGTTGAGTCGAGAGCCCACTGTCGTGGAGTTGTACACTCTCACCCACCAACGACAGGAGGGCCGATAGTGGGTGGATCAACGAGCGTGGAAGGTCTATGTGAGTATTAAAACTTACAATAATATTATGAATGCTTTAGTGACACGAATACAATTATTCTATGTATTTTATATATTTCATGAGTACTATACACGACTTAATTTGAGAGAGCCAAATTGCAGCTGGTGAGGGATCCTCTATGTGGGATCGATGGATTATTCAGACTACAACAGATGGTCAGAGGCAGTTGGCAAAATGCAAAATAGTGGAGTTTATGGATTGAGCTCACAAGCCTATGCATTCAAGGGTTAGTCATCCAGTGCAACATGCTTCTCAGGTAGCAGCTAGGAGGAGTTAGTTAACCAAAAGGTGGTTGTCATAATAACAGAAATATAGCAAGTATGAAAATTGCAAGCTGATATACAAATGCAGCAAAGCCAGATGCAGCATGATCAGTGACACAAATTTAGGGAGCAATTTCATGAAAAGCATCCTATTGAGATCGAGGAGAGTGAGGGGATGGAAGAGGATTAGAATTAGATACTTGTAGGCTTTTTTTTGGGGGTTTTTTTGTAATGTTTGACAAGATTGATTCTATTAATAAGAATGATTCATTCTTTGTTGGTTATTGTAAGAGAATTGATGTGGATGAGTGATTTGTTTGGTCGAGCTACAAGTTTCTGATGTCTATACCGCCATAAATCATTACGATGAATTTATCGGTGGCACTACCGATGGAATATTCTGCTGGTTATCCTAACTTTTTCGATCATTCCGATCAACAAAAATATTTTTGAGTATTCACTTGAATTTTTCCGGAAACATTTCCGGTGGAAAAAAAATCCACCACAACATGTTTTCCAACTAGGGTATTAGCAATGGATTTATATCCATCGAAAATTCATCAGAAATTTATATTACCAGCGGAATATGCTTTATTTTAGGTAGATAAAACAGTTGGAAATTCACTATATTTATTTAGTAGATGTTAAAAAATAATACAAATTGATGAAAAGTCTGAAAACATTATGATCAAGAAAAAAAGTATTTGATCCTAATTTATGCTAAGACCAAACAAATTAATCATTACTTTGAGTCACACATCTCTTCTGTATATTTCTCAAACTTTTCAAAGAATCAATCATCAATACTCCATGATCTTAAAAACAATCACAGAGAATCATATAAACGTATCAATCCAACATAAATTAATATATACATATATCAATGTATATATATGGTATAATTCATCAGCAATATTTATTATTCAACCATTCCAATAGTCATAATCACCATCCAAGCCTTAGTTCCAAATCCAGCTCTTCAACTACCAATTCCTCATCCTCCTTACTACTCTCACTGCTTGTTCTCAAAGATCCAACCTTCTCGAGCAAACAGGAATCCTCATATGTGCAACTTTGTGCAGCAAAGTTAATTGTACTAACCCTAGGAAAGGCTGAAGAAGAACCCATAGAAGCCGGGCGGGGCTGGCTCGGCATAGGGTAAGAGAAGAGAAACCCACCACCCTTCATGACCGGAGGCGCCGGCACCAGAGAAGGCGGTCGTTGGTTGTGATGTAGTTGCATCTGAGCCCGATCGCGGCGGTGGACGTTCATATGGCCGCCCAGCGCTTGGGCCGATCGGAACTCGCGGCGGCAGAAGGTGCAGGAGTAGAACCGTGGGGGCCATGTGGTCCCCATGGCGCTACTTCTGTCTTCTGCAAAGGCTCTGACCTCCCATGAATCATCTTCATCGACGACTAAGTTGCCAGGAGGAGGAGGCAAAATGCTGCCATAGGTCAACATGGTATACCTTTGTTTCAGAGACAGAAAAAAGCACTGGAATGGAGGTGGAGAGAAATTGTGTGCAGGTCTTTTACGTGGTGCATGATAGATAGTTCTGAGGTATGTTGCTGGCTTATATAGAATGCGAAGTCAATTCTAATGCATTGTGGCATTAGTCAGAAGAGTTGCAAAGACAGGCAACTCTGAGAGAGAATTAGTATTAGAACAATAAAATAACTTAGCTTATTACAACTAATTAAAAATATGGAGGTTTTCCAATACATTATATTTTTATCATTAATGCTTTGATCATCAAAATTTTAATATCAAATTAGTATATAATTAATAATTAATAAGGATGGTTATATGCATATCATGTGATTGCTTTTATAAAAGAGTTAAATGGAAAATAGAGATATTTATTTTATAATTTAAGAACTAAGGTTATGGATAGTTATATTTCGAAACTTGTACATGGATAGTTATATGCATATCATGTGATTGCATTTATAAGGGATTCCTCAACAAGCTCCGTCGGATTTCATCGATCACAAGAACCACGAATTAGTCCATCGCGCGAACTATTTTTATAAACTCCACAGCCAGTCCAGCAAATTCCTCCGGCTGCGAACCGCAATCAGCCCATTGTGTTCGCAATCATAATTTGATGAATCCAACCTAGGACAAATATAGGATCAAAATCAAAGTGCCAGTGCCTATTCTTTTTTTTATATATATAGCCTTATTTATGAATTCTAAAAGAAGATTTTTAAAAAAATAACAAAATAAATTTATGGACTGTCATTAAAATTGTAGAGATCTCAATATTCCAAAAACTATTTATGCACTTCGAAATGTATTAAATATTTTTTATTAGTTATTAGTTATTACATTTTACAAAATATAAAATAATATCATACAATTTGAAAAATATTAAAAGAGAGAAGATTTAATAAGGTCGGTGACGCACGCAAGTAAACATCTTTGCCTTGCCGAATATTTATAAGCGGCCGGCTCTCTTTTGTTCCCTACCACCTTGTTAACAGGCAAGACAACGGGCGATACAAAGAAGAGCCAGTAAGCTTAATTAGTTCCCAAAAAAAATAAAAAATAAAAACCGTGCAGACTAAATTGGGATGGCTTTAAAAAAGCCATCCTAAATAGGAGAGATTGTTTGGTGCAAAGTGCGGACGGGGAGAATCGTCCACCATAAGCATTGATGGATACTCGGTACCACTCGTTACCGCTGGGTACCGCTAGGTACCCAATACTTGTGCAGATTGTTCGCACTCCGCACCTAATAATATTTCCCTAAATAGAGCCTGATTTTCGTACTGTTTTCTAAAGAGGTTTTTTAGTCTTCAAGCTGCTTCAAGAATCATTAAGAAAGCCATCTCAATGAAGCTTTACTATAATTTCTTAAAGTAAAAAAATTTTTGTACTAAAAATTTACTTTAGAACGCATTAAAAAAGTTGTCCAAACATAACCTTAGGCTCCATTTGAAATAACTTTCTTATTGTTTTTTGAAATAGTTTTTTAATTAAAAATTTTTAGATATTTTTAAAAGTGAAGCCTTTATTCGAGATAATTTTCTTATTGTTTTATTTATTACACCGCAACCACATTTTATGTTTTAATATTATTTTTTTGCTATTTTAGGTATTTTTTTATGCTAGAAAGTTGCTTTCTCAAAAAAATTATTTTCTCCATAACAACTTAATAATTATCTTTATAAAAAATTATAGCCATCCCAAACAGATGAAATTATTCTATGCAGATATAGACGTCGTCCGAGGTGAATCAAAGCACATCACATCACCCCTTTATTGTGTACTGAGGCTGTATATCCGTTGTGTACAAGGTCTGGACAGTCCGATGTTCACACAGAATAATTACTCCTCAAACACACCCTAAATGTAAACATATACAATAAAGATAAAGATAATAAAAATTGTAAAAAGCAAGTGGATTTGATTTTTGATCGAATTGAATAATCAAGCTAAGTAATGGCTTTAAGCTCAAATTTGAATTGGGTCACGTTAAGATTCGTGTCAATATTGTTTTAAAACAAATCAAGATTTTATGTATTTATATATGAACCTACACATGGAATACTTAAATGAAAAGATCAAAACACATATAAATTGAAACTTTTGAGTGTATACGTCTTATCATAGTTGTAATTGGCTAAATATTCTTTATCTTTATTTTTTTAGAGGAATATGTTTGAAAGCTCCTTTTAGATAAAATTAACCTCTTATATTTAAGTAATTATTACGGCCGATCATCAGACGCATCCAGAGATCAATAAACACACGACACGTCACCTGGAGCTCGGTACCCAGCACTCATTATTGTTCGATATACGTCCAAATTTTCGATTTTTTGTCCGGACGTAACAATTATTCCTTATATTTACGAACTTCAGAACCAAAGGCATCTCACATATCCTTCAATAAATTTTATTTTAGCTTATTAAAGAACATATAAGATCTAAGCCATACTAAGACCTTAGGAATTTGCCTTCATCTCGAATAACATATATTAGCATAAACTCAAGCCACTTGAAGGTGTCCTTCCTATTTAATTTATTATGAATAGAGATTATTGCTCTATAATAATAATCAAACAGTTCATTGAAGAAAATAATGTTGGATCCATATGTCTTTAGGATTGGCTGAATTATATACATTTGAGGGTGTTATTGAGATATTTATTTTAAAAAATTGTTCCATCATAATTTTTTTTTTCTTTGGTGTCTTTTATCTTAAATTAAAATGATAATTTAAATTAGCAAATTATTAAAACATAATTTGTTGGGGAAGATGAGGAGTGAGCACCACAACGACGAAACTAGAAAGAGAGTAAAAGCAGCGGAAAGTAAATGACACCAAATTTCAATGTAAAAAAAACTTAAAATACGAAAGAAAGAAAAATCACAGAGGTACACCACACACAAAAAAATTCACTAAAAAAATTGAAAAAAATAAGTACATATCTCTCCTCTCTCTAACTCTCTCCTTGCTTCTGTTCTCACATGCACCGTTCTCACACTTGTTGTAATTGAAAATATAAGAGAAAGCCAAGTAAAATAACTCCAATGGGCGCAGTATTCCTTCAGAAAATGAGAAAGAAAACAGTCAAGTCTGTCTCGTAGCACCAGTTTGGGATGCTGCAGCGCTCAAGTGTCTGTCTTTCACCGCTGCAACAACATATCTATGCCACTGCGGCGCTCTATTCTCTATCATTCAACACTGGGGTGCTTGGGTATGTAACACTCGGGTACAAAGCGCCAAGGCGTTGTACAGGATTTTTTTTTTTTTGCCTGAGCAAAGGGTGAACATCCCCCAGTGAACACGACAAGCTTTGATGTTCGAGACAACAGAATAACCAGATTGATCAACACAATCAGATTCTAAACTTAATAATCTTCCACTTGGAATTGAATCAATCTTTCTCCCGATTTGTAACACCAATCAGTATACCAAAAGTGTGGCTCACTTCTGCTCTCATCCTTTATGAAGACTAATTGAAGCTACACATAGCTTGAGTTTATCAACTATCATCGTCTTTGTCAGCATATATGCAAGATTCTCGATCATGTGTATCTTCTTCAAAGATAACTAACCATCTTCCAAAAGCGACTTAATAAAATGATATCGAAACTAGATGTTTTTCATCCTGGCATGGAATAAATCATTTTTTGCTAGATGTATAGCATTCATACTGTCACTATACAGCTTTAAACCAAAGCATGGTGTGAAGGTCGAAAAATAGAAAACTGTGGTGTATGTGTGAAAGCAAACAATCATACATGTGATGATTGTAAGTATTATAGGGTTTTACATGAAGTTTTATAGTTGGAATATCCTGGTGAAGGGAACAACTTGTATCGTTTTAATTATGATTTATTTGATCCAGTGCAAAACAGAGTAATAAAAGTGCATCCACTTTATGATATTATAGAAATAAAGTAAGATATAAGATATGGAAAATACGACCCACTTATCATTGTTAGCCAGGCTACCCAAGTTTTCTTTGCTAACTATCCAGGTACATTATAGGTTAAGCAAGATTGACTTGTAGTTATCAAGACTAAACCTAGAGGGGATTATTGAGAATACTACATCAATATCAGCAGCGCATCAAGAAGAATATATGTCAAAGTTTAAAGAGCCTGCTAATAATGGAGATGATCAAATTGTAGCTAATGAGACTGAGTTGCAATTAGAGTATGTAGACTTAGACATTGAGAAAAATATTGAAGATATTAGTACTAAGGATAGTCTTGTTAGATGGAAGTGACTCACCTAGTGATTAATAGTTATGAGGTAAATATGAATCAGATTTTTTTTTTTTTTTTTTGCAACAAATTAGTGTACATACAGTAGTTCATTTTTTGTTATAGCATAGAAGTAGTAAACACATTTTTTTTCTAACATATTTCCTTCGTTTAATTTACGTATTTCCTACATTTTTATAAATTCATAAATTGTAACTAATTATTTCTTTTATTTTTTACAGATGGCTTCTAGAGGAAATAAGCCCCCAGGCGATCTTTCACAAATATTTTTAGGCACAAGAAGAATAATGTTGGACGATGTGGCATAGGTGGAGATACTGAGGGAACCCTCCTCTTCATAGCCTACCACCCATACCTAACTTAGCCCCCTTTGCCTACACCTTCTCAAAGGAATCCCTAGCTCTACTCCTGAACCACACGCTTTCCATCATCAAACCCTACGCAGGAAGCTCCCTTTTACCTATACTACCCCCACCATCTTTTCAAGGAGTCCCCTCTACTTATCCCTATCCACTATGTGTTCTGCCATTATACTACCCACCACCCCGTCATCCCTCTGCAGCTAACTAGACCTTCCACCTCGAGTGCAAATGGACCTTTCGCACAGATTGCCGCAACACCGATCATAGATGGGCGTATGTTGATTCAGCCCGAGGGTGATACATACATAAATGTGTATGTTTTATATTATGCATATATTTGAGAAATAATATTTTT